GGTCAATGGGCGAAAGAAACCTTTCAGTAAATGATATCGACACATCTGTATGTATGTGCAGACAGAAGTACCATCAAGTCATGTTTGAACCTTCCGTACTGTGCCCTGAAGTCAATGTGAGTAGGGTAAGTGCATATAGAAGCGGGCGCCACACGCTTCTAGAAGAAGTGACTCTCTTCACAAGCCAGGCTCCTCAGCAGAGACGGCAGAGCCCTGTCACACATAGCAGAGAGGGAAAGACCGTAAATGGAAAGTGGTGTACAATACAGATAAACTATTCAAATGAGTAAATAGACAAAAGAAAATGGGGTTCTAGAGCCTCTTGTGGACAAAAGAAACTCAAATGAACCCTGTGGCTTGTTGGATGCCAAATAGAGACTTTGGGGTGAACGTTTATCTTCAACACAAGGACGTAGCTGCAAGTTCAAGAGACGCGTCTTTCACTCACTAAGTCTGTCCGCTTCTGAGGAAGGCTAAGAGCAGTTATTCCTTAGCAGCAATGAGCACACCTCACTTTCTGAAAAGCATCATCCTAAACTGGACAGATGGTCCATGGAGAAACAGCCAACGTCAGAGCTGGGACAGAAATGGTACAAAATGGGCTGACAGTAAGAAGGCACTCAGTACACACAGAACGGTAGGGACATGTCAGTGGCCAAGTTACTCCCTAGCCAACCTGATTCAAATATTGGGGGAGGGGGGGAGTCAGTGATGGATCATAACCCGCAGAATGAAACAGAAGCACAGAACTCTGCAGAGACTTTATAAATATGTAAATCAAGTTGGAGGAAAAAATGTTTACCTACTCTCCGAGATCCTTCCAACGCTTACAAGTATTTGCAATGGGAAGACCAGGTGAACAAAGTTCCAGCAACAGGGAAGTTGAAATCCTGTCAGGCCTGCCCCAACCGGTAGGACGCAGGGACACATGAGCACGGCTTCACTTCACTGGTTTCCTCGTCAGAGATGCACAGATTTAATCAGGACAAGCCATCAGGCAGCTTGGAGATGTTTTCCAGAGCTGGCCTGTAGCCATCAGAAGTGTCAAAGTCACAGAAATCTAGAAAAAGAAAAACAAAGAATTGGTCTAGCCTAAAGGAGGCTGCATATATATGTGACCGTGAATGCAGTGAGCGAATCTAACCTGGGTCTTCTTGCTTCCGTGGATATTCCCAGGAAGCTTGTGGCACGTGGACGGGTCCTGAGGCTGGCACTGTAATGAGAGGGTGATGATGCCCTTCCTGCTTGAGTGGATACACGTAGTTCTGTGGGAGAACACCTTTATTTCAAGTAAACATACTGACGTAGTCATTGGGTCACACTAAAGAGAACAGTGTGTCAACAGCTGAGTTCACACCACTCAGGTCCTCGTTCTGTACCTAGACCTTGTCTTACGTTCGAGATAGAAAAGGTGCAGGGCAGACGTCCCGCAGAACTGTGTCACTTCCCTGCATGCTGTGCCTATCTGTCAGTGCCCCTCCCACAGCCTCTCTGACCCTTAGATGTCCTGCTGAAGGAGCAGCTAGCTGAGGAATCCCTCCCTCCCCCACCTTCTTCTGCATCTTGAAAGGAAATGAATGACACTTATCCCTTCAGAATAGGATCTGAATATTTCTGAGACTGGCTTTTGAGGGGACCTACAGTGTGGTAAGTGAAGATTTTAATGAACCAGCTTTGGGTTTTTCACAAAGCTGAGTGAGTTGCCCTGTTCCTTCAAACAGTGTAAGGGGGTGAAGTGTGCCTGACAAAAGGGAGAACAGCTCATCACACAAGTCGATTACTTTCTGAACAGGGTCTCATTATGTAGCATATATATATGTGTGTGTGTGTGTGTGTGTGTGTGTGTGTGTGTGTGTATTTGTGTATATATATCTATCAACTTAAAGCTAGCACCCTAATTGATTCTCTGTTCCCATCTACCCAAAGCACAGCCTCTGCATGTGCACAGGGCCAGGAGAAGATGTGGCCAGGTGACAAGGGCAAGGCGTTCATCATCAGGTCTGAGTCTTATGCTCATCCTGCTGGCATTGTCACCTCTAATGACATCCCAGCCTCCTCTGTAAAATGGAGAACCCTCTCAGGCTGGAATGAGGCAACAGTGGCAGAGACCAACAGCCAATTCATCTTCTCCCCATGTCAAGGTCACAGGTTGACATCTTGCCACCCCATGACATGCTGTGTTACATGGTGACTCATTTGTGGCCTAAGCAGAGTCTCAGCGGTGACCTCAGGACCAAAGCTGAAAGAGGCCACTGGACCTTTCTTGTGTGTCCCATCTCCTCTGCTGGCTGATGGCAAACACCATGGACTATCCACCCATTAGACAGACAGGGGACTCAGTGGCTAGCTCAGCAGGAACCCCCAGGATAGAAGGAGAGAACCAACCCCTGAAACTTGTCCTCTAACCTCCGCATATACACCCACCTATACAAAATGAATAAATAAATAAGTAATAAAAAGGTAAACTAGTGATGGGGAACTTGAGTGTGTGAGGGAGCAACATCTGCTGATTTTTCAGTCATTATGATTTTTAAGTCCATCTCTGTAGCAGTTTGGTTTATCCTAATTGAAACAAAAATCCACTCAACAGCCTGGCAATCAAGGGGAAACGTGCCCACTTGAGATGAGCATGAAAACCAGCACATCCCAGATCACAGCAGAAAGCTGACCATAAGTCACAGCTCCAGGCCAAGCTGACCTCATTAGAACCAGAGGAAGGTTTTTTCCAATCTGAAGAAAGTATGTGGACAGGAAGAAAGAGAGAAGGGAGGTATGTGGTTGGCTGAGGTTGGGCAGCAAGCAAGGGCCATCAGAGACACCAGCTAGGGGCCTCTGGAAATGTACCTGAGACCAGAAAAGACAAAACAGCAGTATGCAAATGTAGGGGCATGGTCAAAGAGGCCCCGCCCACAGGACCATGATTCCCACCAAGATCACCTCTGAAGATGACCAGAGCCTTGAAACACATACAGGGATAGAACCAAGACCCCGGAAGCTTCTAGACTCTCCACAGGCGATATAATGCCTGCTTGTAAGCACTGCTATAGACGATGAGGGTTACTGGAAGGCAGCCAACTTCTCTTATTCTGATTCCGTACGTGATAAGCAAGTGAGAACATGCTCCTCAGTCAGGGGGACAAAAAGACTTTTTGGCTGGAAATAGCAACTTGGCATCCTGTGTTTTAAGGGCTTGACTTTCCATACTTCAACTTCCACTTTGTAAAATGGGAATACTAAAAGTATCTGTGGTGGTTTGGATAGGAACAGCCCCATAGGCTCTTAGATCGGAAGGCTTAGCCATTAGGGAGTGGCCTTACTTAAGACAAGTTAGTGGGTGTGGCCTTGAGGAAGTAGGTGTGGCTTTGTTGTTGGAAGTGTGTCGCTGGGAGTGAACTTAGCACAAGCCAGGCCCAGTGTCTCTCTCTTCCTGCTGCCTGCGAATCCTGACGTAGAAGTCTCAGCCACCTCTCCAGCACCATCTCTGCCTACATGCTACCATGTTCCCTGCCATGATGATAATGGATTAAGCCTCTGAAACTGTCAACCAGCCCCAATTAAATGCTTTCCTTTATAAGAGTTGCCTCCGTCATGGCTGTCTCTTCCCAGCAATAGAACACTGACAAGAGCCTCATCCTGGTCCTGTGAGGATGGTGTGAGGAGACGTGGAAAATGGCTAGAACAGTAGCTAGTCCACAGTAAGTACATTGTTTTCATTGGCATATGCCTCTGCCTTTGAGACCTGATACTTTGTCACTGTGACACAAAAGCAACTTCATTAGCAGCCCCGAAGAGTAGCTAATTTCTAAGCTACATCTCATCCTTCAGGGAGCTGCCTGAGCGCTCACCCAGAGCCTCTGAGCATTGGTGCTAGGCTAGCTGAGGCCGGATGGAAGCCTACAACAGTCTAACTGCCACAGCTTCTGGGCTGTAATAAATTCAGCAGGAATCTGTAGTGATGCCAACTGATAATGTGGGCAAGACAGCTGGCGTTCAGAGGTCGATGCCTGGGCAGGGAAGGAGGTAAGTAAGCTTGTGTCTGTGCTCAGTTTAGATAGATCAGTCTGTCCATCTTACCAGACTAACACAGGGCTTGGGTGGAATCACCAGGTGTCTCAAGTCACAAGCAGGAGACAAAGCCCTGGCTACGAACAAGTCCCCAGTTGAGGCTGCCAGGTTCCAAGATCCAGACCCTGCTCCAGGGCACCTATTCTAATACAGCAGGAAGTATGGTTCTGATGGCCTTGCATGCAGCCCAGGTTTAAGTGTGGGACAAAGTGACTTCACTGTCTCCCTGCGTGTTAGCAGTCAGGAAGGGATTAAGAAAGATTCGGGGGTCCAAGACTGGTGGGTTCTAAGGACAGGCAGGCTTCTGACAGGCAGAGATGGAACTATGTTTGGGGAAGTCCTAAGAAGGTATACGTCTAGGAACAGAAACACTGGTGAGAGACAAAGCCGAGGGAGAAGCTGGAGGCCACTGTGCCCCCCACCACCACCATGGAGGGCACAATCAAGCTCAATAAATCAAAGAGACTACATTTTATCGTTGATTTCTTCCCTTCATTCAACAAAATATTGAGTGCAAGCTTATCACTGGTTCTCTCCTGAGTTCTGGGCATGGTTGGGCAGGGCAGACTCCCACCCTCCGAAACTGGTGCTGAAGCTGGCTCTTGCCTGTATGAGGAGGTCTGAACAGAAACAGTCCTGGATCATGCTGAGCTTCTAGGAGCCCCAGCCAGCCATAAGGGAGGCAGAGGATACTGTCTGGTCGAGGGAGAAGGCCAGGCCCTGAGTCAGATTATCAATGAGGAAGGGTCCTTTCAGCGGTCATCAGGTAGGACTTCAGTAGCCAGGCCAGTGATGCTCCCCAGAGGCAGATACACAGGAAGAAGTACTCCACGAATGCCTGGGGAAGGGGCAGCACTACAGGGCTTGGGAGAAAGGCGGCCAGAGCAGGAGCTAGGCCCTAGCCCTCCCTCCTCTCCCGCTGCAGAAGGCCCCTTTCACTGGAAAGGCTGTTCTGGAGTGCTACGCCCAGAGCTCCTGTGATCCTCACGCCTGTGGTCATCCTCATCTTCCCGCCCTCTGGAAACTTCTATCTGCTGCTTTTTAGGCTCTTGGTAAGCTGCTCGGTTCCTACAGGGCAATGAAGAAAGAAAACAAAGTTAGCCCTCCCTCTTGGGGGTGGGAGGTGGGGCGCGGAAACTGTTCCTAGTCTCACCCACACCGTCAGCTGCCAGGGGACTCCGTGCTGCAGGCTGGTTACCCAGCGCACAGTGAGATCTCCCAACTCGTGAGCTGAGGAGATTGTCGTGGAAAGAGTGTGTGTATGTGTGTGTTCCAGCCCTATCTGACCTTCCTCTTGCCATAAGAAAGCCTGCCACGAGAAGAGAGGCTGCAAACCACAGACCCAGAGGACAAGTGCAGGACCTCAGTCCACCCTTGACTTGAGTGAGTCGCTCATTCCTCAACTGAAACTGGGAAAGACTGAAATGCTTTTATGTTTCCCAAGGTGCTAATGGGCATGCCCAAGGAGCTGGGATGCGAATCTCCGTCTGCTACCTTCCAAGGGGCTCCCAACCCAGCACACTTACGGCCGCACGTCCTCCATGTCTTCTTTGTCGTTCTTTTCCCGGCAGCAGCAGCAGTAGACAATAACGCCGATGATGATGAGGGCCACAAAGCTGCCTCCCGCAATGCCCGCATACAGTGCAATGTTCATGGAGGCTGAAAGAGGATGAAGCAGCAGTACTTCCGGCCCCCAACCTTCCCCCTCCCCCAACCCTACCTCTCCCCAGCCCTCCCCCAACCCCTCCCCTCCCCTAACCCCTCCCCTCCCCCAACTCTACCCCTCCCCCAACTCTACCTCCCCACCCCTGGGTCATATTGGGGTACAGAATAGAAAGTCAGACTGGAGGTGAAGAACCATAGTACTGGCACAGCAGGCTAGTCCCTCCCCAGCCTCTGGGCAGCAGGCTAATCCCTCCCCAGCCTCTGGGCAGCTCCAGTTCTTCTGCCTGACTAGGAAGCCATGGCTAGAAGCTTCTGGTAGCACAGTCGTGGTCCTGGAGCATTGCGACCAGACAGATATGAGGACATTCTTTAGGTTAGAAGTACAGACAAGGAGAGGGAGATCCAGAGCATCCTGATACAGGGCTCCCTAGGCTCTCCAAAAACCCTGAGTGTTAGCTTTGTCCACTTCTGGCTTATGCTTGAGGTAGCTATGGTCTCCCTTCTCTCCACAAAAAGAATAGACATCTCGTTCAAGAAACTTCTCTTGAGTGACCACAAGATAGGCATGGCTGAAGAAGTCTCCAGAAATGTGTCCCAGGCTCTATTTCCAAAGAATCAGAAGAGCTGGGCTAGCCTCAGGGGGAGAAAAGCCTGGGCCAGGCATCTCTCCAGGGTCACAGCAACCGCCTGGTCCGCCTCCAGTGGCCTCAAACGGCCACCTCTAGACCTTGTAGCCCTCCCTCCCTCCCTCCCTCCCTCCCTCCCTCCCTTCCTCTCTCCCTCCCTCCCCACGCCGCTCTTACGAGGTCTGGGTGCCACGGTGATGTTGCAGGACTCTGTCCCCACCTCATTGCTGGAGGTGCAGATGTAGTAACCCGCAGTCTCCGTGGAGATGTTCTTCAGAAGCAAGGGCTCACCTGAGACTGAACGAAGAACAGCATGGTGAAAAGACAGCATTCGGTGGAGTGTGCACAGCCGATGATGATGAGGGCCACAAAGATACCTCCCGAAATGCCCGCATACAGTGCAATTGGAGGAGGGAAAGTCCCCTCTAAGAATGCTGGGGGAATCAACACGGCAGGTGGGCAACAGTGGAGGGCTTCAAATCCAGTCAAAACTCTGGGTGCTAACCCTGGCTTTGCCGATTTATTTGCTATGTTTTTGCAAGTAACTTGCCCTATAGAATCTATTTCTTCATCTATAAATAGAAATGATGGTACCTATGGGACAAGGTACTTGTGAGTCTAAGATGAGATATTAATAATAAATTAGTGCCCAGTACGATGCCTGATTGCAGTGCTCTGGCAGGTCTTGCCCTTCTCCCCAGCTAGCCAACACAGTCTGTTCCTTTCTTTGGCCACTTCCTCCTCCTGAGGCTGATTCCCCAGATTCAGCTACCAAAGTATTCAAGTCCAGCAGTCAAAAGTCCCTTTTGGTTCACCTAACCCTCCCAGTTAAAACTAAACACTGCATCCTAACACAGGGCTTCCCCTTTTACCTTTATAAACCGCCATTAGCCTATGTGTCACATCTGTCTCTTCTATCCAGAGGCAGTCCTTTGTTCCCTTCCAGGACAGTTACCACTTTCCCCTCTCCCTTATTCCCTTCTCCTTCTCCCTCATCCCCTATCTCCTGTTTTGGTCCCTTATCCCTGCCCTCTGTCCCTCTGGGGCAGATATAGCTCCTTTGTGCTGAGAACTTGGTCTTGATGGTCCTGGGCTGATACTTTTCCTACGTAAATAACAGGAAATGCACATGTGTGATGTGTGTGGTGTAGAGTATGGACACGCTCTGGGAGGGTGTTGTGTGAGTTGAGAGACAGTGTCAGTTTAAACTCTTCCTCCATCGAGTTCTTCAGCAGTGGCCACCTCATGTGGAAACAAGAGTGAAAGCAGGCAATGTCGAGCCCGGAGACGTGGACCAGAGAGATGTCCTCACAAGAGAGCTCTCCCTGAACCCATGACAGCCTGTGTGTATGTCCTGTTCTCAGAGATGCTTCGTCATCACTGCCATTTCAAGAGAAGAAACCTACTCCCCTAACTATAGTGCCAGCTTCATCAGAACCTTGTGCCATCAGGTGTCACAATCTGTCCCCCGGACACGCTCTAAGTCGCCAACAGGGACCTGTCGCAGCCTTTAGACATTTCAGAAGCTCTCTCTAATTTTCAATAGCCAACTCAGTGTGCGTGTGTGTGCGTGTCTGTGTGTGCATACATGCACATGTGTGTACACATGTGGAGGCCAGAGGTTAACCTCAGATGTCTCCATCTCTTTCCTGTTTTGCTTTTTGAGATAGAGTCTCCCAGTGAATCTGGAGCTCACTGATTTACCAAAGGATGCTCAGGGAGCCCTGGGGGCCTCCTGTCTCTGCCCATCCCCCACTCCCAGTGCTGGCTTACAGGCAGGCACTGCCATGCCCAGCTTCTGTGTGGGTTGCAGCTGATCAAACCAAGGTCCTCACAATCTCACACCAAGCAGTTCGCCGACTGAACCACCTCCCTAGGTCCTGAATTCTGGGCTTTTAATACAGTGACAAAACTACAGTCTGGACCTGCAGCCATGCCAACCTTACGTCCCGCTGCTTCTCCAAACCAGGGAACAGCCCACACAAGGTCCTGCCTCCACGCTCTGGGGTTGTTGGTCTCTCAATATTCTCAATGGTATTTCATCCTTCCAACGTCTTGTATGGAAGGTGGGCCATATATTCTCAACTCCAGTTCCACAGGAGAGTTCTCTGAGTTTTATGTTGGTATGTGTGCCCGTGTGTGCGCACAGACACATACACACTAATAATCAGTAAATAAATGTCTAAAAAGCAAAATACCTTTGCACTATAAAAGCAATGTATGCCTATGTTAAGAATTTATCATAGAATTAACGGAATGAGGTGAGCGCTCGTCTTCCTGGCATTTCCAGTCTCTGAAGGAAGGCACACACGAATCAATGGTGACTTTATGAGTGGTTATGGTTCAAAGTGGGGGTTGTATATGAACTCGTGGTAAAGGGGTTTACCCTTGTCTGGGGGCCAGAGGAAACTTCTAAAAGAAGAGAAAATAAGATAAAAATAAGTTTAGTCACAGGACATTGATTTTCTTCTCATCATAAGTACGCTACTTTCTTCATATTCTTTCCTTAAAATCAAAGCACGTTTTTCTGTAAAACGTTTCAGTCTTGGATTCTAGAACCCCACACCTGATGTTTTGTGGTATACCATTTACACGTGATATTCATATGTGGTACTGGAAAGGGGCCACAGGCAAAGCAAGTATGTAAATCACTTTGGTTTTGAAGCTTCGGGGGCATGGCCTACTTTGTGGGCGTGGCCTACGAGTGTTGCTATCCCAGGGAGCAGTGGAAACCACCACAGGGATTCAGAATCCCAGTCTCTAACCCAATTGGATCTGATACTTTTAAGAAGATTTTAAAGGAACACACTTTACAGAATGTTCTGCGTCTCCAGGCACAGGTATGTTTAAGAGGCCTAGCGCTGGCTGCTCAGGTGTCAGGTGTCCACAGCACCCCAGGGTGGCTCCTAGGCCTCCTTTAGGGGTGGGATCGTGGGGGTTCCTATTGCATGAGCCGGTACCATCCTTCTCCTTAGTCTCTGAAGCAAACGATATGTTCTAGAAACTTCCTTGGGTAAAATTGGGCTCATCTCACGCCACTGATTGGCTTTCATTGAACTGGGAACTCTCAGGCTCCTTTTCCTTCTGGAAGAGCCCACTACGGTCTGAAACCCGGTTTCCCGTTGTCGTGGTGCCATCTTGTGGTCAGGAAAGAGGATGCATCTGGCCGTCATCTGTCCGCTGAGGTGCCTGATAACCCCAAAACATTGATGTTGAATGAACCGATCTGCTCTTTCTGTTGCCTTCCACCATCGCCGGTCAGTAAGCGTTGGCTGCCACGTCTCATCCCAGGCTCTGGGGCGAACCCTTGAAGTATTCCTGTTCCTTCCACTCCTGACCTCACCAGCATTTTCAGAGGTCTCCTGTGAGAAACTGCCTCTTACTTCAAGGACAGTAAACATTAGCACCATCTTAGCCTTGGTTGTGTTTTTTGAAGCTTGTAAGTGACTTACAACTACAAAGTTAAAAAAAAACAACAACAACACAGGGCTCCGGAGCTCTGCAGGGAACTCTGGGAGCAAGAGGCTTTGAGAACAGCACCCCTACCTCCATCACAACATCCAGACACAAAACTGCGTGGTAACCATCACTCGCACAGTTAATACTGTCCATCTGACTCAAAATCACCTAGGGAAGAAGCCTCTGGGCTGCCTTTGAGGAACTCCAGATCAAATCCGTCTTGGGCGTGGCTGTGTGGAGCAGTCTAGATTAAGTTAATTAAGGTGGGAAGACCCACCTTCCCACAATCCCTTGGGCTGGAATATTGGACTGAATGAAAAGTGAACCGTGCACCAGAATTCCTCCCTCTGTGCCTGTCCTCCCCCTCTGTGTGTGTGTGTGTGTGTGTGTGTGTGTGTGTGTGTGTGTGTCTGTCTGTCTGTCTGTCTGTGTCTGTGTCTCCCTCTCCCTCCTCTCTCCCTCCCTCCCTCTCTCCCTCTGTCCCTTTTTCTCTCCCCCCCCCCCTCTCTCTTCTTCCAGAGGCCGGGGTATTGCAGGCTGCAGCTGCCACAGCTCCCCACCCTGGAGGACATGCTCTTAAGCTGTGAGTCAAGATGCGCCCTCTGTCCCTTATGCCACTGACATGAGGCATCTCACCACCGAAGCCATCCTCTGCTGTCACTCCAGGCCTGAGTTCCGACTGGATAAAGCAGAGAAGCAAATGTCGCTTTAACCTCCTCCCATGCCCTCAGGATTCACCCACTTTTAGTTAGCAAAGGGCTAAGTTTTGACCCCTAACAGCTTTTTATGATGAAACTGGGGTGCCCATTTGTGAGGTCCTAGGAGGAGCCCAGTGTTTACAAGGAAAAGTCCAACCTCCTAGGCTGGCACACAGGCCCCTCTCCATCTCCCCTCACTCTTTCCCATGAACAACATCGGCCATCATTTCTACATGGACATGTACCCTACCCCTCAGCCACACTGACGCCATGACGCCCATGCTGTTTTCCTCTCTGAAGGGTCTGCTGAACATCGATAATAACATCTAGAACTGATTGTGCCCTTTGCCGTCTACCAGGCACCAATCTCCATGCTTTACTTACTTTGGTTCACCCTTCACAGTGACAGCATGAGATGAACACTGGTGGTGTGCCCATTCTACAGATGTACAGACTAAGGCAGAGACAGGCTAAGTATCTTGCCTTACTTGCTAGCAAGGAACACAGGATTAAAGCCCATGGTTGCTCTGCAGCACCTGGTCACAGTGCAACTCGGACATCCCCTTTGTGAAGAGAACTTCCAGGATTCCTCACAGTGTCTGTATCACATCACTGTGTCAACCCCCTGCAGCTCATGACCTCATGACCTCCAGCCCTGGACCCCACGGTGCACACTTTGCAACAGGAAAATCAACATCGCTGTGTTCTTAGACTGTGAGCAGGCAGCAAAGAGTAGACAGAACACTGCAGTGTTTAAGGACAGCTGCCAGGTGATTTCAATAGAAATCCCAGACACTCAAAAACTGGCAATCCGGGAGCTGGCGAGTGTGGGTAAAGGCACTTGGTGCCAAGCCTGATAACCTGCGTTCAAGCCCTGGGACTCGAGTGGTGGGAGAGAAGAGGCTCCCACAAGCTGTCCTCTGGCCTCTCACGGTGCTGGTCTCCCCACATGTATACACACCACACAGATGCAATTATAGAAATGTGTCTAGCGGTTAAAGGCACTGGCTGCTCTTCCAGAGGTCCTGTGTTCAATTCCCAGCAACCACATGGTGGCTCCCAACCATCTGTAATGGGATCTGATTCCCTCTTCTGGTGTGTCTGAAGAGAATGACAGTGTACTCACGTACATAATATAAATAATTAAATCTTTTTTTTTAAATTGGCAAACCAGAAACATACCAGCAAAACTGCAAGTTTGTGGTAATCCATATCACACCTATTACTATCTAGTACACCGTCCCTTTTACCTTAAGTCGAGTGAATTCTACTAACTTTTTTGTTTTTTGTTTGTTTTTTACGAAGTTATTGTTTGGCCTCCAGATAACTAAGAGTGATAATCCACTTGGCTTTGATGGGAACCCAGGGCGTACGGGGTGTTCATCCACGGGGCTTCCCAGGGGCACTAGATGTTTCACAGGGCTTCCTGGGGCCTTCCTCCCTCTCCCAGAGCAGCTCCACTCACAGGCTTTGCTCACACCTCCTTATCCCATTCCCACACACGCGGGACTGAGCGACCTCAAGGCTAAAACTGATGGACACCCCTCGGTTCACTGGTACAGCACTGACAGCCCACGCGATTTCCACTCCAGTGGCCATAATGGCAGCAGAGTGTTATCATGGTCCCAGCTCTGCCCCTCTCTCCTCTTCTTTCACCCCTGACTCCTCCTGTATCTTGTTTATTTTCTGATCAAAGGTCAAATATTGGGTGACCAGTACAAAATGGGTCTCTTGGCAACTACAAGTAAATCCGCCATAGCCTGAGGATGAGGACCCTAACAGCCCATGTTGTGTTTGTGATGGTGTCTGAGATGGACAGGTGTGGGTGGAAAACGGGGCTAGGAAATTCCCCACTCAAAAGTGGGCTTGAGGCCATAATAACGCTTAAAAGAACAAGCCCCAGTGTTTCTGCACAGAATGCTTAGCGGGACTCACTTCCTCAAGAGAATGGAAGGTGGGAAGAACAGAGGTCACGTGACCTCTACCATAGCCCGAGCTGAGTGAGCTTCTCCGGAGCCACTGCTGTCTTTCACAGCTGTGAGGTGCATAGGTTTTTGTACGGAAAACCAATGCTTTGAGGGATGGTCCAAGGTAGCTCAAGGGCAGGGCTTGGTTAAAAGGACTTTGGTTGGTCAGCCTCTGTCTCCGCTGGCAGCCGGAGGACACATGGCCCTCCCTGCTGTCCCCTCACCTGGCTGGGAGAGCAGCCGCTGCTGGTGCAGAACGGTGTAACCCTTCCAGCTGTATTGTGGGCTCGGAGAGCCCTCTGCAGAATGGCATGTCAGCTGGATGTTGTTCCCGATCACTGTCTCGCCTTCGATGCCGCAGTCTGGCTTGGAAGGTGCCACTGTAAAAGAAAGAGAACGAACGAGAGACCTGAGTCGCATGGAGACAATTCCTGCCCATCTCAATATGTACTAACCTATGTCTCCTTCCACACACACGGAGGAATGCTTACAGAGAAACTCACAGCTTAGTGGTGAGATTTAATATTATAAAGCTAATTCATCCCCAAAGTACCTACTGTCATAGCACCCCCTCCCCCCTGAGGGGGCGGCACCACAGGTCGTGCTATCCAGTACGCTCCTCCCGGCCTAACAGCAACGACTTCGTCAGAAAAGCTGTGACTCTCCAGGCTGGTCTCATTGGCTCCTGACATGCCCTCCTAGAAGGAGGGGCTGGGGAGAGTATTGAATTCTCTCTCACCTGAGATTCCAGCCACTCTGTCATATGCCAGTGGCCATTTGTAAGTAATCCTGTCCTAATATTTCATGGTCTTGTCTCAGAAGGTGCTAGAGTACATTGACTGTGGGATGTATTTGAAGTGGGGGTTGCCCATCTATACAGTCATGGAGAATTGTCGGCACTGAGGTGAGATTCCAGCACTGCAGCAAGTTGTGGGCTTGCCCAGGGTTTGCACAGAAACACAGTAACTCCTGAGTTCTCCATACTGAGCTTCAGTAGAAACATTTTGCTGTGTCTTTGGTGTCCTGTAGAGTTTGTTTGCATCTCCCCAGGGAAAGAGTCCCCACGGGCTGGTTGATAGTGGCTTCTTGTGCTCTCTGGACTCTTGAGAATTTAAACATAATCAACGTAGCTGTTATACAGATGGGGGCCACCGGAGCGCACAGTGGGGACACTTGTTCTTGGGTTCTGGCAGATGTGGGACTAGAATCAAGGTTTCCTGACTCCAGACCCAGTGCTCACTCTATTGTCCCAGGTGGGCTCTTTCTGCTCCTAACTCAGCCGAGATCACCGAGTTCCTGATCCATTAAGTCAGGGGACAGCAGGCCCCTGTAGGGATATGTAGATTTGTGCCATATGGGATTTGTGGGCACAATATTATCTCCAATGCTGTTTTTTCCCCTTGGAGGCATGTAAATATTTTTATTCTTTGAAATATTCATACATGTATGCAATGTATTTTGATCATGTTTTCTACCCTACCCCAATCCCAGTCGTTCCCTCCGGACAGCTCCTTCCTCCCTTCTGGTTTTAATAATGCCTTAGAACCATAAGGACGGGGCAGGTTGTGGGCTGACGCTGGCCAGGGTTCCCTCACCCCAGGTTAGATGGTCTCTGTAGCCCTTCAGCCTCGTGGGACTGTTCTCTGTGGATCTACCATTGCCCTCTCCCCCTACTTTGCTAATAAAATGCAATCAGCACTAGTAGCTAGACAGCAGGAGGGACTTCAGGCAGTGCAGAGCTTCCTGCTGGGTGAAGAATGTGACTGAAGACATGGAATTGGACTGAGGTGACCAAGAAATGCCAAAGAAAGGAGTCTGTAAGCCCCAGCAGTCATTGCAAACCATCCGAACTGGCTTCTTGAGACTCCAAGCCTGTGACTTTCCCTCAGCCTTGTTAACGTCATGTTGGGTGGAGTGGGTGGTTCTGTAGATGTTATTAGATACCCAGGTTCTGCCTAACAATGCTGGGCACTGCGGTGGCACTCTGAGTGAGTCACGGAATCTAGTGGGGGACAAAAGACAACAGAACAACGGCAGAGCAGGGGACAGGACTGCTGGGCAGAGAAAGGTAACCCAACACATCATATGGGCTGTGACCTGAAGGGCATCATGAAGTGACAGGAATCAGAGCAGAGATGAGCATGCCGAACAGGAGGACAGCATACGCAAAGGCACAGAGGCAAGAAGCAGGAAGTACCCGTGAGACTCCAGGAAGCATGGGTAGGGGTGAGGAAGGGAGAGCACACTGTGGAGGGAGTTGTTCCTGATGTCCTTGGACCCTTCTACCTTTGTCATATACCATCTCGAATGGCTTGCTTCCCCAGGTCAGGCACATGGCCAGCCATCTTGAGGGCTAATGCCAGTCTTAGCCCACCTGGAAGTTGCTGGAGGAACTGTCCCTGACTCTTCTCTTCCAGTCCAGCAGCTGCAGAATTTCTCGGAAACAGGCAGGCTATTATTAGGAGTGCCTCACATCTGCTGACACAAGCTGGGCTAGCCAGGTATGGGGGAAACCACCAATGTCATCAGGAGTGACACATTAGAGGCACTCCTGATCGCCAAACAAAACCCAAGCTTCTGAGGATCAAAGACAAGCCCGCCTAAGCAGGTGAGCAGAACACCTGCCAGAAGTTGGCTACTTACCAGCCTCCTGTGCCTCCTGCTAGCCCTGGGGGGACTCTGGAGGTGCAGAGGAGGCGAACCTACCCTCTAGGCTTTTATTCCTGCTGGGGTTCTCTCTCCCTCCTGGGCCCCACAGCAGAACCTTGCAGGACTCTTACTTAGCCAACCTCACCCTCAGGCGTTCCTTTAGCAGGAGATGCAGTGGCAGACTCCCACACCCGCATCAGACTAAGTAGTGGGGTAGCAGAGGGACCCCTGAGCTAGTGTTTGTTTGTTTGTTCAGTCCGAGAGGGAGTGGGGTTGTCGAATACAGACAGAAGCCGGAAGGAAAGTGCCAGACACCAACCGCTGAAGCATAAAAGGCAAAGGTGCATGATTGAAAACTAGCACCTACTCCATTCCTTGGGTGTGGCCTGAGCAGGAACTCCAGAAACTGCCCGCGGGGTGATGGCCAGCAAGGGAGATCTACTTTCAAGGGGACTGTGTCAAGATCTTTTGCTCCAGGCCCTTGACCACAGGCTCTGAACTTCCTGTGGACCTTGTGCCAGGCACACCCCTGTCCTCTTTCCCCAGATCTCCAGTCCCCAAGTCACAAACAGCTGGGACCTCAAATTAGATCTAGTTTCAAGAGCCCACGCGCGGGAGCCAAGAGTACTGTCGAGGGAGCGGGTACTCTCAAGGGAGAGGGTCTTTCTCTCACGTGGCCGGCTTTACAAACAAAATGTTACCTGAGAAATTACTAAGGGAGGGAGAGGCCAAGGAGGGTGGGAAGGGATGTGTTAAGCTTCAAAACCTCTCGGGTGCCGGCTGTTCCCTTTGAATACGTCAGAGGGCGCCACAGGCCAGAGTAAGGATTCCCCACCTGCCGCACAAGCTGCAAAGGCTTCGGGGCTTCCTGGAGGTGAGCTAGACAAGGCTAGCTCCCAGGAGCTAAGGTCGGGGTTAGGGGGCTTCCTTCTGGTCTCCCCAGAATGAGCCGCCCAGTATAATTAAAGTCTTCTTTAAAAATCATCCAGTTATAGAGACACTGAGAAAGAAAACTTTTCACAAAGAATATCGGTGGATTTATTAACATGTAGGATAAAATGCGCTTTTTTTTTAAAGCAAAATATTAGTTTCAGCAAATTCCATATTCTCAGATTAAAAGCGTATCCTTAACTCTTCAGGTTAATCTATTTGTCTTTAAAAGTAGGTGTTCCTTGACGTAAGGGTAGGAGTTTGGTTGGAGGAGCAGCAGAATCAGGTTTCAGATTTATACTGATTCTTTGCATCAGCTTGAAATTCTTTGCCAAAAAAGACAGGCCATGTATTTCAAGAACCCAAATTTTATGTAAGTCTGTGTATATATAACCCTTACATGTATATAGAATGTGTGTATGAGTTTTATACATAACTATACACACAGTGAGGTGAAGGGGTATATTGTAGTATTGCTTGTTCAAACAAGAGCTAACAAAACGCGTTGAAACCGGAGGTGTTCACGGATTGTTGTCAAGAGGCAACTTGCTAAGTGCTTTATAATATCCCACATCTTCACAGGAAAGAGGAAAGTGTATGAGTGTGTGGTGCGCATTGGGAGAACATGAGGCGAAGTCGAAGACTCTTGCCTGCATTACCACTAGCTGCCACATGGTGGCGGGATGGGAAGAGGTCTTGCCTATTCTTTACGCGGCATTAGTTGATACCACAGTGTAGTCTGACATAATACTTTCTATGAGTCCAACAACTACCATATCCAATTTAAAAAGAAATTCTCCCAAGTAGTGTAAAGGAAAAAGAGGAGAGATGATCCACTGTTTTGATGCACAGAGTTGCTACCTCCCAGGAGTGGGGCCATTGCTTATACTGCACATAGACCAGGTGCTCATTAAAGTGTCCCCAGTAACTAGTTTTGAGGTAATTACTTCCTTCCTTTGGGCCTCATCTACTCAGAAACTAAAGCAGATGAGTTTCCTCATCTTCCCAAAACTATAAATTCCAACAAATTCTCCTATGAAAAAAGATGCTGTCCTGGGACATACTTCCATCGATTGAAGGTTGGCGACCATGCCTTTGTTAGGTGAAGGGTCGAGAGACTGTGGTGTGGAGCTGAGTTGAGAGCAGGACAAGGTTCGTCACCTGTGGGAGTCACGATCAGCCCTGTGAGTGCCACGCATTGATCAAGGCAAAATGAGAACCCATGTATTGCTTGGGGATGCTATTCCCTTCTCTTTAGGAATGAGTTTGGAGGGGGAAGGAAGAGTTGGTGTGAAGGGGGACAAGCACTGAGAGCAAGGATGACTCCAAAGCCATCGTCTTTGCCCTCAGAAACAGCCCGCTATTCACCGAGAACCCAGAGAGCATTTGTCTCCAGAGAGAGAGATGGAACCACGGCTCTGCTGCTGACAGTACTCCTCAGCCCACCCTCCTCCCACAGGAAATGACAGAGACACTCACCGAGGACCATGAGGCGGACTCGAGACCCGGAGGTGACATCCTGGTCTGACATCAGTGAGACGAAGCACTCATAGGTGCCATTGTCATCCATGGTCAGCTGGTCGATGGTGATAGAGGCGTCTGACAGCTCCACGTCCTTAGACACTGTCACTCGGTTCTCGTAACGGCTCCCATAGATGTATTTCTTCGTCATAAAATTCCAGGTGGCCACTCTTTCCTGAGAGACAGAGGAAATGTCTACCAGGCCCTGGCATGGACCTGCCCTAACTGAATCTTCTTCCTCCAGAGCCAACCAACAGCATGTCAAACAGAAGGGCAGTACCTACTGGTAGATTCCTCTTATTACCTAGCTAGATAACTCTAGACTTTAAAGATTTGCTTTTAAATGAAGGTTTTAGGGGCTGGGTATGTAGTTTAGTTGGTAGTACTTGCCTACCACACACAAAGGCCTGGATTGGATTCCCGGCACCATGTAAACTTAGTGTGGTGGTGCACGCCAGCATTCCAGAGAGGAAAGTTCAAAGTCACCTTTGGCTATGTAGCAAGTTCTAAGGCAATCTGGGATACACGCCACCTCGACTCAAAGGCAAAACAGAAAACAGCACAGAAGCACACACCCTGGGGTGTGTATACCAGTGTATAAACGAGGCTGCTCAGATCCCAACACTCACGCTCGTAACCAGGCTCTCTCCTTGGTTCCCTCTCAGCTCACAGTTTATTCTCATCTGTTCCTTCCTCCATCCAACACAGAGCAACCACTGTAAACCACGTACCATGCTAGGTAACCACTGAGTTCCAAGCTCACTTGATTTTGACTATTGCCCTTGGAATTTGTTTATTTATTTATTCGTCGGTGTTGACGAAGCAACACATTAGTGGCTTAGAACACAGACACAGACCAGGCTGCCTCAGCCAAATCCTCACCCTGCCGCTAGCTGACTGTCCTTGAGCAACACAGCTGACTGTTCTGAGACTCTCAACTACAAAACAGAGATGTTGATTACAACACATCTCCTAGGACTGTGGTGAGAGCTAGTGCTGACAATACGTGCAGAGCCGTTGTGATCGGCCTGGCGTGGTGTCTACCGTGACTAGCCAGTATGACAGTCTACCATGTCCTCGGCATACATACAACCCATGAGTTCTTCCCTCAAAAATGAGTTTGAAAACCAACCAACCAGGGTATCTCCTGATTACAACATAGACTGGCCACTTGGGGGAGGAGTCCCCCAAAGGGTGATAGCTGCCTTGAATCTTGAAAAGCAGCTGTGAATTGACAAGGTAAACAGCTAGAAGGCTGTGTAATATGTTAGACATTGGAGGCAAAGGGGAAAAAAAAAACCAAAGAGCAGAAAGCAACAATGTCAACCCCAAGGGGCACAGTGTGAGTGACAGATTAGCAATAGCTGAGCCTGGGCAATAAGACCATAACTGCTACTTATGATTATTGTGCTATATACTGTTCCAAGTACTGAGTATCTATTATCTCATTTAACCAACACACTCCTATGCAGTAGACCTTATGATCACATCTTACACGGGAGGAAACAGAGACATCACAAAGCAGATTAAGTATGCCCCCCAGGTGGAGATGTTTAAGTGACTAGCAGGGCTGAGATGGTCCCGGGGATTCTGGCTCAGAGCCTGAACACTGCAGATTCTACCGAGTCACATCCGAGACACTGTGTAACACTAAGTAGTTCACAGTTTATCTTCAAGACAATAACGTATGTTAGCTTTTTGTTGATGCTTGGTTTGGTTTGGTTTCCAGTGTGGATGTGGAGTGACCCTTGGTCCTTCCATATGCTCGGCAAGAGCTCTACTGCCCAGCAGTATCCCTGACTTCAGAATTCTGTATTTTGGGGGGTTAGTTCTTTCTCCAGAGCACAAATGAAAAAGGTCAAGTTCAGTAACCAGGAGGGGCTGGAGAAACAGCTCAGTGGGTAAAGACACTTGCCACCAAACCTGACAATCTGAGTTCAAGTCCCAGGAAAGAGGGAACCAATGCCCACAAAGCTGCCATCTGACTTCTACATACCCACTCTAATAAATAATTAAATAAAATCTTAAAAGAAAAAGAAAAACCATAATTGTTGTCAAATCAGGTTGTGGCAACACAGAGAGAGTGAAATGAGTTGGAGGGGTGAGAAGATAGAGGACACACAAAATTGGGGTGTGGGACCAAGATGCAGAACTAGAGAGCTGTTAATCCCAGATTTAGGGTTTAGATTTGATGGTTTGATGGTTTCCTTCCCAACACACGAGGAGAGTGCTTTAAACAAAAAGTGAGTGTTCTGTTTACACGAGGGATTCCGTGGGACACCCAGGAGGAGGAATTCAGCATGGCCGGATGGGACAGCTGAGTCTCACTGACACAGGACAGGCAAGGAGTTAGGCAAGAGAGAGCAAGGAAATCACGTGATCTCATGGTAGCCATGTCTCCCACTGTTAGGCTGCCTCTTTGTGGTTAAACACACTGGGAGATGCAGTTAGCTCTTCCTGCTGTATCAGAGATGAAGGCGCTAGAGAGCTTTCACACTGTCATCCACGAACACCTATAAAGGGGTGGGTCCTCCAAAGCCCCAGCTTTCTTATCGTATTATTTTCATGGTGGCCTTGACCCCTCCCCCACTATGTGGGTTTTTCAAGAAGACCATAAGAAAAAATATCCTAAAAGCAAAATCTAGTCCACCGTGGTTTAAGAGGGAAAGGGGGCCACATTGTCCCAATGAACAGGTGGCCCACTTCATAAATATTCATTAAACTGCTGTATTTCTATATACAGAACCTGTGGGTGGCTACCCCCTTGACATTCAGGAAAAACCCCTTCAGTCTCTCGTTGGGATGTATGCTTTGCCTGGGTAAATTAACTTCTGTTGTAGCTGTAGGTGTCACTTGGCTAAATTCTATCTTTTGAAGACAGAACCAAGAAGAAACTTTCAGCTGGCAATATATCTGGGGATGAAAGTTTGGAAGCCAGTGGCATACAGGTGTTCACTGAGATGTGGGTCACACATGGCTCAAAGCAAACGCCAAGTACACAAGTTGTTCAAAGGATCCAGTGAAGGTCAGGGAGACAAGGGAGAAAGCCAAGCCAGCGACCCCAAAAGCCAAGAAGGGCTCTGAGAAGGAGAAGTAGTTGCTAGTGGGAAATGGTGGTCATTTCAAGAGTGTTAGAGAAAATAGGTGAACCGGGCAGAGAACATGGAGATGTTGTGGCAGGTCTGAGTCCTGCGCTTGCAGAGCCTGTCTGGTGTGGGCTGCTCTGGTGCTGTTTGTATTTTGATGTTAATTCTGCTTCCTCAAGAAGGGCTGCCCCATAAGATCACATATTCAGGGGATCTCACTGAACCTTCTCCCCATTCTAACTGATCAAATAGAGGCTGGAGCCTGTCATTGGGCAGTGGAAGGGAAAAGTGGGATGGGTGGTCTCAGAGAGGGGGAGGAGAGAGAAAGAGAGAGAGAGAGAGAGAAGAAGAAGAAGAAGAAGAAGAAGAAGAAGAAGAAGAAGAAGAAGAAGAAGAAGAAGAAGAAGAAGAGGAGGCGAAATGAGGATGGAGCAGAACCACATGGTCTGGAGAAGCTGCAAGTAGCAAGGGGTCTCATAGCTGGGGAATTAATTAGTATAGTGATAGATCTGCCCAATCTAGGCATATAGCTTATAAATATAATAACTGGTTATGGTTTTCTTTTTAATGTGGGCTTATTGGGGTAAGAAATTACCGAAGACCTTTTCAGTTAGAACAAGGCATTCCAGTTTTCCAACAGACATGGTCTAAGTTAGGGCATATGACACAGCTATTGGAGCCCAGATGCCTTACACAAGCTGTCCAAGCACACCCGATAGCCCTGATAGAGTGGACAACCCACTGAGAATGCCTAGCTGATTCAAGAAGACAAGGCAGGCACTGAGGTGGTGTCTAGGCCTAGAAACAGTCCATGGATGCCCAGCTCTTTCCTGATCCTTGGCTGGCTCTTCCTGGGTTTCCCACCCTATAATACCCTCTTATCAAAGATATCCTAAGATTGTTCCTGGGTCTCTGTCTCTTCCTGACCACACCACCTCCTAGGACTCACAGAAAACAATGCCTTTCTCTGCATTTGTTTTTGGTCTCAAGGATGCTGCCTCAGATCCTTTTGGAAGTAGAGTACCCACCAGTCAATAAATAACTGTAGAGTTTCTGTGGGCACTCTGCAAAGTCATGGGAAGATGATACACCTGGCTTGCATCTGGAGGGAGGTGCAGGGCCCTTCAGTTCCTGCAGGCTGATGCTCAAGACAGCAGTGAGGAGTTTGTGCCTTTCCCTCTGGTAGCAGACAGGATGGGCGTCTATAGGGCCCTCAGTACATAAAGATAAGACTGAGTCCTTTGTCAGAACTGTCACCCAGGAGGCAGGTGTCCTACGATTCTCTGTCAGAGAAAAGGCTAAAAGCCTCTTTCTCTCTGTAGGGCCAGGGATCTGATGATTCTCTCTGGCAGATATGTTATTAAGAGTTTCTTTTCCTAAAGGTTATACAACAGAAAGAAGACCAAGGGCGAGTCGCAGTACCAAGAGAATACAGAGCTATTGCTTTTCCTAGTTTCAACTCTATCATATTTTTTTTTATCTGTGGTGGGTAAATGCACTAGTCAGTTTTATGTCAACTTGACACAAGCTAGCGTCCTTGGGAAGAGGGGCTCTCAACTGAGAAAAGGCCTCCATAAGATTTGCCTCCAGGCAACTCTGTAATGCATTTTCTTGACTGATGATCAGTGCAGGAAGGCCCTCACTGTATGTGATCTCAACCCGGGGCTGCTAGTCCTCAGTGCTGTAAGAAAGCAGGCTGAGCAAGCCAGGAGAGCAAACAGCAAGCAGCTCTCCACAGCCTCCCCTTCAGTCCCTGCACCCAGGTTCCTGTCTGAAGTCACTGCCCTGACTTCCTTTGACAATGGCCTGCAGTGCAGAAGTGTAAACAAGATAAACCTTTCCTCTCTAAAATTTCTTTTTGGTAATGGTGTTTTATCAGAGCAATAGAATCCTAACTAAGATAATTTTAAAAAATACAAATGTAACTGATAGTTAAAGTGTAAGACCTTAAGCCAAGTTCATGGCTTCTGTATGACCATGTTAACTGTATACAAGTTCACTGAGATGTGAAGAGTTTGAGACGGGGATTTAAACTAGCCATGTGATGGCTTTGTTTGTAAATTCATTAGAATAAATCAATTTTATTTTAAAAAGAATTTTGGGGGATGTGGGTGCTGGAATCAAACTGGAGCTCTTTTTGGCTATTACCCCACCCCTACCCGCCCCCTGCCCTGAGACCCCACCCCCTGCCCTGAGACCCCGCCCCCTGCCCCTCCTCCCAGTATGCAGGCCCTCTACCACCTCTGTGGAGCATGTTAGCATTTTAAAAGAAGTCCTGACTTAAATGTACAGATGGAGGCTCCATGAATAGTTACACAGATGTGCTTTTGATCCCTAATGAGATACATTTTTCACTTATCAAATCACTGGTTATCAGACAGTTTGAGCATACGCTGAGAAAGCGGTGAACATTATCTAATTTAGGTAAAAATGAAGACTGGTAAGATATCTAATGAAATTAACCAAGAAGTTTCATTCATTCATTCATTCATTTCAGGACCTTGTGAATGTTAGGCAAGTAGGTTCCAGTTTTAATAATCTATCATATATATATATATATACACACACACACACACACACACATATATATCATATATAATAATCTTTGTGTTTATTGTGGCAACAAAATATAGGAAACAAACCAATGATGTATATGCAATGATGTGTATGTCTATACATATGCATATATATGTTTTCATAAAATATTTTTTAAAATAAGATATGGAGTCCACAGCTCAGCACTAGAATGCAAGATCAGATCACAAGGCCCTGGGTTTGAACCTCAACCTGGAGAGAGGAAAGAGGAAGTGACGCAGAGAAAGTTTTAAGTTTATGCCTGTCAAGAGATCAGAGTCAGGAGACGATCATGAGCCATGATGTCCCATTCACCCTGGAGTCTTACCGTTTGACTTCTGAGGAGCTTAGACCACTGAATGAATCCCTCTCGGTCTGAAACAGAGGTGCTGTAGGTGCATGGGAGGGTGACACTCCCTCCTCGGGCAGCCCGAAGAACGTCCTGTGTAGTTTCCACAGTAAGAGCATCAGCTGCCACCCAGACTGGAAAGAAAGAAGAAAATAAATGGCGTGCGCGCACACACCCACGCTCTGTCTTCGGACCATTGCAGGAATGCTCAGAGGAGTTCTGTGGCCACGTGAAGGTTTCCACAGCAGCCACCATGTCAGGGCACGCTAGCAGCAGTCTCGAAGACCAGGACAGGGAGGAAGTCAAGTGCCTTGGTCCGCTGTCGTCCTGAAGAAGTTACCTGCCTTTGGTGGCTACCCCGCTCTCAATCTCAGCTGTCCGACCGTCAGCTGTGCAGACTGCTCTAAGCCCCAGTTACTGGGGAGATGAAGTTTTACTTCATACCAAGCACAGAAAGCTTTTGGTAAATGTCTTTCTGTTGTAACCATGATTTATATATTTACTTACTTAACAAATGTTAATGGATAGCCGGGCAGTGGTGGCGCACGCCTTTAATCCCAGCACTTGGGAGGCAGAGGCAGGCAGATTTCTGAGTTCGAGGCCAGCCTGGTCTACAGAGTGAGTTCCAGGACAGCCAGGGCTACACAGAGACTTCTCCAAAATGATGAGATGGAACTTGGTACTGTAGCCCTTCCTTTGTTGTTTTTTTGTCAGGCTATCAGTTAGAGTAACAGAAATAAAACAAGAACACAAGATTCTTTTGAAAATGCAAATTCCTAGGAATGGAGCTATGTGTGCTCTGATGTGCAGTGAAAGCCAACTGCCTTTACAGAGTGGGCACTGCCCAGCAAGGAAGCTGAGTGACCAGAGCTCCTGGGGCTTCTTTGTGAAATCAGAGACATAGGTACTGGGGGAGGGAATAAAAAAATCAGCTTCCAAAAGCCACACTTCTCCTCAGCATTTGTAAATTCCTGAGATAGTTGGAGCAGGCAACACCAGTGCCCTAGTGCCAGATGCCACTCTGAAGTCATCCAAATACGGTCTTCCTGGGCATCAGAAGCCTGCTCCTGGGCTTTCTCCTACATGGCCATGGGTCACCAAATGCTACTCCATGTCACCAGAAGTCTCTCCACCAGCTTCGCTAATCAGAAAACATTTATTGTCATTACTAGCAAGGTATCCTTCTCCAGGAGGCTGGTTTCTGGAAAGGGCCTCTGATTCCATCCACGAGGTCCCAGCTGCAGCTTATATCCTGTTCAGAGAGCATGACTGTATGCTGTTCCCTGGATGCCTCTTCATAGTCATGGCAGCTGCACTGATCTTCACCTCACCTCTTGCCTAGACCCATTTCCCTGGAGCCTTGTCCTCAAGGTGACCATTCTCCGGCCTCTCCGTGGCCTGAATAAATATTCTTTCCTGTCATACATGAGTGGCCTGTTACAATGGCTGCCACTGGTGGAGTTCAGGTAGTGCAGTCCCTTCTCGCCACCAAATCAAAGAGAACCAACTCATCAAGCCATTCCTTCCGAATTCAGTTACCCACTCACTCATGACTAAGGAACAGGTACCAGATAGAAGGCCATCGATCAGGGAGAGGAGAGCAAGCCAATACACGGAGTTGGTAATCCCCAATTCCTATCGGCCTCTCTTACATTAACGACAACTCAATGGCGCGGGTCTTTTTCCACGTATTCCCATTCTCTCCTTGATGTTAGCCCTAGTTTTCAGACTACAAAATTGAGGCTCAGTCTTCACACGTCTTAACATGTACCTTGGAGGGGTTAAGCAATGTGTTCTATGTAGACATAGTTGACAGTCCAGAGCAGCTACCCAAGGGTCAGCGCAAGGATCACATTGTCCACTGGGCCAGAGATGGCAGGGATGGTGTTTGTCCTGACTGCCAACAGAGTCCATGTCTTCTACCCCTTTCCTTGTAAATGAAACTCTTACATCCTTTCTTCAGTCCCTGGTCAAGTATTTAATGTATGTCTACCAAGGTAAGATAAAAATGCATGGAGCCTTCTTCTTACTGGGACAGGGTTTATGGACACAGACTAAGCTCCTACATGTTCTTAGTTCTTTCTGTGTGTCACAGGGGTACTGTGCACAAGAATACATGCCCACATAGACTAGGTGTTGGATCCCCTGAAGCTAGCATTATAGGCCATTGTGAACCACCCTATGTGGGTGGTAGGATTTGAACTCAAGTCCTGTGGGAGAGCAGGCAGCATTCTTATTTTTTTTGTTGTTTTTATTCCTTTATGGAGAGCATGCTGGTCTATATTTCTTAAAAGTTACATTAGATACAGTTGTCTTGATAAATCAATTGTACTATCTAAATATATATTGGATCTTTAACAATATTTGATTTCTATTCAATTGGAATAATATATTGGCTTTTTGGAAAATGTGAACAATTAAAAGAAAATGCAAAGACTTACAAAGAGACAGCATTGAGAAATACAAAAGAAAGCGTTCTTGGGCTGACAGCTATACAATGTCTAATCTATAGTTTACAGAAAGTATCTAATTTTATAAATTTTTTTTCTCAAATCGTAATTAATTCACACAGGGGTTATAAACACAGAAAGGCAGGATGTGGGGAAGGGAATGACACTGGAGTGTGGGTGTTGAGGGGGAATACAGATATCTTCAGAACCGGGTATCGGCTGGGTGAAGGTTCAGGGGACAAGTCACTATGACTCTGCCTATGACTCGCTTGTCCTTATCTAAGTTGGTATTGTCTGCCAAGGCTACCTATTTACAAGGTCTATGACTACTCAGGCTGATAAATTTCCACAAAAGCTGCCTGTTGACATTAGCTTATAGCCATCTGTCTCAATGTTTTTCCACTGAGACCCAAGACTTGGTGTTAGTATACATGTATGACAGGCCTATTGCTGATTTTAGGCCTATGGCTGATTTTAGGCCTACAGTGTGTAAGCAGGGCTGCCCCTGACATCTCCTCCCTTCTCTAAGTATAGAAGGGCTGTGGCGATTCTAAACTTGTGAAGGCGGGGATAGAGGCCTGATCTCCAGTATTTGAAGGGGACCTTGTAATGGCTCCCATCCCCCTGTCGTTGTCCAGTGAGGCATGAGGGCCATACCCGTCCCGATGTCTTTTTCCTGGAGAGGGGATACTTTTGACATCAACCCCTATGCAGTCAGGCTTGTCCCTCAGAACCCAGAGAGATATTTTTATCTTATATTTATATTCCCTTGCAGTGCTTAGCCTCCCAGCCTAAGCAAGAATTCAGATCGCCTGTCAGAGGGGGTTCTGGGTGGCCCCTCTCTGCCTGTTCTAGGGGTGGAAATACCCTCTTTTAGGTTGGGTGGAGATGAGTTTTGGGAACACCCTGTATAAAGTAACAACCTCATCTTGAGTCTCGTGGTCCTCCACAGCTAACTTATGATAATGTATCTGAGTGGGTTTTGCTACCAAATTATTTATCTGTTGTTTCACAGAGTTAGTCCACCTATTTGAAGGCCAGGAACCAGCAGAAAAAAGCAAAAAGAACCCAAATAATGGTCCCAAGATGGAAGGAAATAGGGTTGACAACCTTGGAGAGGCTGCAAACCAATTCTTGTACTAGCATTCATCTGTCTCTTTCTCTCTCTGATTTTTCTTAGCAGACAGCATTCTTAACAGCTAAGCCATCTCTCTGCTGCCTTGCAATCCTCTTAATCAAACTCCAAGTAGACTACTTCCCAGCAGAAGTAGTTGAGATTTTTATAGGAGAAGAACCAGGCCTGGAGAGTGCCTGGGAACCAAGCCTGCTGTTGGAGAACACCCTACACCTCTGAGGTAGGTATTCCACATCCTTATCAGAGCTGAAGCCTGGCAATCAGAAAGGGCTACCCTGGCTAGATCAGGGGCTCCATGCACCCCCTCCCCAGCAAGAGAAAACATTCCCTCTACCTGCCCCTTTCCTCTCCCGACTCCCTCTTTTAAAGTCAGAAACACCGCTGTGATTCCTCCTGTTCATTCACTACTGCTCCCACAGCACAGCTCACTGGGTCCACTCTAGGAAGCAGCAGGCGGAGGCTTAAATGCACAGATCCCAAATGCCTTATTGTAATAATGCCTCAGTTAGAACTCCATCATCCACCCAGTGTGAAACTCCAAGTGGTTTACCAGAGCTGCCTGCACCGGAGCCCTCAGCTGAAAAGCAGGTCTTGTGAGCAGTAAGTGATGTGACCTTTGTTTAATGGCTCCCAACTCAGAGCCAGAACTCCCTGAGTGATCGTCACCATTATATATCCTTCCCCTTATTGAGCCACTTGTACTTTGTCGTCTCATATTCTGCTGTTGAGATGCATCTTAGTTAGAAGTTAATCAGGAGAGACAACCACTCACCCTCACAGGTTAGCCAACAGAAAGCAGGAGTAACCGCTAAAGAATGGATGCGTTTTAGCAATCACTCTAACAGCGAGTTAAAATCATGGTGTGCTAATAGATTTATGAGGCAAGAGAGAAATGAAGGAAGGCTCACAAAGAATAAAAAAAAAAAACCGAAACCCATTGACTAGTGCGCAGAACAATTCGGATGTTAGCTGAGTCCTGAGAGGGGTTTTGAAAGACTGACTGTGTGCCCTGGGGCGTGCTTACATGTTCCGTGATGGGATGCTCTCCTGTGTTTCGGGACATTTGGGCATCCATCCTAACCAACTTCAATCCTTTCTGCTGATACAGTCAGAGTTCTCCCATTCTGACATAACAGCAATAAAATACCTGACTGGCTTCGTCATAACTTAATAAGCCCTGTCCCTTTCTGTCCTTCCTGTTGATCTTACACTTATTGGTTCTTCAATCTTTTATCTCTATGGGTCTTTGTATCCCTGCTAAGGAATTAAACAAAAAAAGGCAGGTAAGACATCTAACCCTTGACTAGAATATGGGGAAAGAAGTCATTTCTAGAAGCCTCAACCCCTCCTTGACATTAATATCACCCTTTCAATTCCCACAAAGCCACAGCTCCTCACCGATTCCTGCTTCCAGAAGTTTGCTTCCTTCCCTCCTTACTCTTCTGCTTGCCTTTCCCCCCTCAAAGCTCAAGGAAAGCTCCTCCCTGGTACAGAAAGTTGCTCTCATTGGTCAGATTTGAAATGTCCCCCATAGACTCGCACATTGAAA